AATAATAAATTCAAAATAAATCAAATTAAAATAATATAAATATAAAAACATAAACAAATATTAATTTTGAATCAATAAAAATAATAAACATTAAATAAAAACAAATTCGTATAAATAAATACATAAATTATTATTATTATTAATAATAATAATACAATTATTAATAATACATTAAAAAATAAATTCATGAGCATTCCTTAAGCTCAAACAGTACAGCATGAGTTTGATTCCCAGGGAATGCATGAACTGATCAAATGTTTACCTTGAAGGCGAATTAAGTTGCTTTGGAAAAGCATTAAATACTAATAGCATAATTTGATAATAACATCAAATACATTTTTAATAAAAAATTTTTTTTTGAGAAAAAGTACCGTAAAAAGGACGACAAGCATCATTAAAACGAAAAGCCACTGCATTTATACTAAGGCGTTCATGCCCGGTAATTCTGTCTTGGACAGACATGGAGAGGTATTGTAGTGTCTTATGTAACATATTTATTTATAAGGTGTTCATGGCTCGCTATGATGATTATAAACATTATGTCATAAATGGCGCCTCTATCAGACAGAGCAAACAAACTAAGTCTTTATCTGCTTTTAATAGGATCCTGCAGAACTCGTGGGCCTGTACAATGCTTTTCATACCACACACTTAAAAGGATACAAAGGGAAGGCAATATAGTTATATATGGAGCTGAATCTCAGCACAATGTCCAGTGTACACAAATACTAATGTATATACTGAGCAGAGACCACAAACCTGGAAGACTATATAGATCTATAAACATTTCACAACTGCTGGAAGTGGGTCGCCAAACAAACATCATGTTTAATCTATGATCACGTAAGTTCAAATAAGCAATGTGAATGGCTGAAAAGTGCTCAGCTTTTCTGACTACCTGGACCTAGTTTTACTACAGACTAATTAGTTAACTAAACTAAAAACCACAAACAAAAATAGCTAACTAAACTATAGCTAACTAAACTAAACTAAGGGGGTGAAAGAAGAGATTGGTCAAGAAAATAAAATAAAATAAAATAAAATAAAATAAATAATCATGCACAAACATGGATTCATATATTTTAAAATCAATAAATGAAAACAAAAATGACCCCATCTTTATTAAGATTTAAATTTTTTAATAGGAGAAAATTAAAATAATGAATTATAATAAAATTATTATTATTATTATTATTATTAAATATTAAGTAACCAGGAACTATTATTCAAGTAACCAGGAGTACTATTAACTGTGATGATCTCATGTAGGGTGAATGCAACTGATAAATTTATTCAAAATACAAATATTACTAGAAAACATGAAAACCAACTAATTTGTGAAATGAGTTATGAGCAGAAGCATATACCTGTACTAACTATAGTATAACCATATTTACTAATTTAAAAAGTTTTGAACTGTTTTTCATGTGAAGTATTGGAGCGGTAGACCACTTTTACTTGCCTTGTGATAGTCCTGTTCCAGCCTTGAATCTGAGCCGGTTCCCTGTTTATACTTGTTCATCTTCAGCTTCATCTGCCGTGCTCGTTCCTCCACATCCATAGCACCTACGGAGCACAGCAGATGTCAATGAGTTTGCGTGTTTGTTGAAAAAGTGCCTTGTGATGTTAGTGAGGCTAGATGGGATCTGATCTGTTAACCTGTTCACCAATGAAGCGTTTATATAATGTGGAATGATTTAATACAGAAATCTTTCCCATAATGTACAACACTGAACTAACAGCGCTAGCTAACATTTCTCATGAGGAGTTTCATACAATGCAGCATGATCACAGCAAATGTTTCTGAAATGTGAGCATATGAGACATCTGTCTGTTTAATATCAAACTACCCATCAAAAATTAATGCATTTATCAAAATGCCTGTCATCATACATTACAGACTAACTAAAGTTGAAAAAGTGAAAAAGCATAATAGGACCCCTTTAAGGAAACTGCTGTGTAAATTTCTTCACACACTGGCATACTTAAAATCATGCAGGACAGAGGAGAAACAATATATGTATAAATAAAATAATTGTAGGAAGTTACAGAGGGGATAGTACAACGTTTAATAATTAAGAAGCTAACTGATCTTTGTTTTAGGTACTTTTATGAGAGTTGAAATTTGATTGTGTAATGAACTCACAAAAGTCACAAACCTGACACCCACTTTACATCATCTGAATAGTAAAGAATAATTTACTATTAGTAAATCAGTTCAAAGTTCAATTAAATCAAATGCTGTAGTTCAGTATAAATTAGTACTAAACACATTTAGTGTTCTAAATGTTTTTAGCATTGTTTTGTGGTCGCTAGGGTGACTGTAGCATGTTTTTATGCAGTTTTAGGGTGTTTGGTGTGTTTTTACATTTACATTTATTCATTCCGCAGATGCTTTTATCCAAAGCGACTTACAATTTGGGGAATACCTCAAGCGATTCATCTTAACGAGGTAAATAGACACAGGAAGTGCTCGTAATACCAAGTTTTTTAACATGTTATTTTGGCCGCAAGAGTATTCTAAGCAGCTACAAGGGTGTTCGTGGTTTTCTGCATGTTACTATATAGTTTCAAGGGTTGTTCCTTACTGGCCGGAGTCTCTGTGATACTAAAACTAATACTGAGACTAATTTTGTTGAAAAGCACAATTTGATGTTTATTCATAAAAAAATAGTCACGCAAACTCCTGAAACCTTTTTGATTGCAAGGCAACAAGCTACAACTAAGCAGCCCGTTTGCACAAGCAAAGAACTGAATTAGTTTGTGGCGTTGAGCCGTGTGAAGCAAACTACATCTGTCTTTGTCAGTGCAGGTGCCGTACATGTCAATAGCAATTTTCTCTTGCCAATAGCAATTGTGCTGTTAAGTAATTAACATGTTCAGCAAATTACCCAATGATTAGTGCTCTCAGAATCATTAGATTCATTGAATTTAATCGCAGCGCTATAGTGAAGTTCATACATGCAGTGTGTTTTTTTAAGTTTAATGCCACATTCACAGCTGAAAGTGCTTTCAGAACGCTTTGCATCCTGGGAAATCTTGCTCTAAGTCAATCCGTATACAAAAGTTTAGATATCTGCAATGCCAGAACCATACAACACACTTCATTCTCTAAACTAAGTTGTTCAAAGAGAGATGGTAGGAAAAACAAAAACAAGCACACTAATAAAAAAGGATGAAAGTGGATGCAAATGAAACTGAAAAGGACATTAACACCTTCTGAAAATAACCATGATGTGATATATCTGCACTTATGCTGTCATGAAGCCAGCTTCATTAGCTCAAGCCATAACCAAGAACATTAAATAGCCAAATTACCCATCATTCTGAGGAGAGATCCACCAATAAAAAAAAAGGCACTGTTACTGTGCTATGAAAAATAGCTAAGCATCGTCCACTGCCATAAAACATTACGAATGACAAAAAAATCAGTCTCATTAAACTCTCAAACAGCTGACATTTGTCTATTTTTAATACCTGGGCCTAATTAGTTTTTTTTTTTTTTTTGTAAAAAAAAAAAACAAGCCAAATCAGCATATTAGAGTGATTTCTGAAGGATCATGTTACACTAAATACTGTAGTAATGATGCTGAAAATTCAGCTTTGGATCACAGGAATAAATACAATTTTTAGAATACATTAAACAGAAAACAGTTCCTTTAAATTTTAATAATTGTTCACTTTTTTATTATATTTTTGATCAAACAAATGAACCTTTAGTCAGCATAAGATACCTCTTTTTAAAAAATAATTGAAAATCTCACTGATCCCAAACTTTTGAATGGTAGAGAATAAAGGGATATTTTGCAAATATATTGTTTTTGAGTACCATGCTTGATTTAATTATGTCATTAACAATGTTTCCGTGCCTCATAAAATGACATTAAATATACAGTCTTGCACCTTTTATCTGATGTAAATGTTTTAACCCTATGGAGAACATGACTGGAGAAACAATTCCAGAATCAAAAAGTATTTTTTTCATTCGAAGAATGCCACCATTTTGAAATGTGTTGAAACACACACACGATCATAATCGCACATGATTATTACTGAAGCTGATAAAAAAGCTCACGAGCTTCACAACAAACAGCAACTCCTATGATTTGCAATAAAGAAACGAGCTGAATAAAATACACATAAAAAAGGGCAGAGAGAAGGAGTGATGTGAAGACAACCAAACAGCAGAAAGAGATGGTGTTCGCTTTTCAGGCACAGTCCTTTACTCCTGTATAGTTTTTACACTCATTACTACGTACAAAATGATAACAGCTACTGTATATTTGAATATATTTAACTGTGTGTACTGCAGTGCAAACTGATAACGGTTGAATCTCACAATGTCCAGCTCTATATACACAACATACTGTATATAATAGTATATTCTAATTGATAAGGTATTCCGCTATTAATATTATTAATTTCGATTTTTTTTTTATGCATATTATAATTTATATATAATTAATTAAAAAAAATTATATTTTAATATGAATATAATTTACTTAAAAAAAATTAAGCCTATTTTTTATTTTATTTTTTACCATCAAGACATTCCCCGAATCTCATTAACTTCAATCAATTAATTTGTTTTTTCTTTTGAATTGTAGGAGAAACGTATAGAAGCTTGTTTCTGCTCCTGAATTAAAAATAAAAATAATTAGAATTTTTTTTTTTTGCAATTGCAAGGTTACATCTTGCAATTCTGACTTTTTTCTCAGAATTGCGTACTAGCATTTGTAAGTTACAAAGTCAGAACTGTGAGTCTTAAAGAGAGATACTGTAAGAAAATATCAGAATGGAGAGCTTTTTTCCTCAGAATTGGACTTTATGACTCACAATTCTGAGAAAAGAAGTAGGAATTGCTGGATATAAAGTCACAATTCCAAAAAAAAGTAAGAATTGTGAGATATAAACTTCTAATTGCAAGAAAGAAAGTAGATTTGTAAGTTTATATCTCACAATTCTGACATTATAACTTGCAACTGCAAGTTTATGTCCTGCAATTCTGACTTGTTTTCTCAGAACTGTGCAATATAAATTCACAATTGTGAGAAAAAAGGTTTAAATCCCGCAATTCTGACTTTATAACTTACAATCTCACAATTCTCACATTATAACTTGCACTTGCGAGTATATATCACACATATATCATATTTTTCTTTTACTTTTTTTAAAAATTCCAATGGCAAACTTCAATAAAAAAGACATGTTCTCTGTGCGATTAACCCTATATTCATTGTTTATGCGCACACTGCAGCTTGACCTGCTGAAATATCCACAATAGTTTCTGATGGTTTCTAACTGGTCCAAACTAGTCATTAACTAGTCTAAGATTCTCTTGCTGATAAATCAAGTTTCAATTTTGGGTGAATTGTTCCTGAATGGGAGTGCGACAAACAGAGAGGAGCTGGGACACGGCGTGGAGGAAGACGAGAAAAGCAAAGCAGAAGAAAGGACAGACCTGAGTTTGTCCAACCGGGGGAGTCCGTGTCTTCTGGGAGGGGAGGGGGGGTGAGGGGTGAGGGGGTCACATCACAAAAAACAGACAGACAGACAGACAGACAGAGGAGAGGGGTGTGAGAGGAGGTATGCAGAAAAAAGGGACGAGAAATAAGGGGCAAAAACACACGGGAGGGAACACATCAACAACACCACACAAAAAATGAGGGAAACACAACACATGACAAGCAGATAAAACCACAAACACAAGTTTCAAGTTCCATGATACAAAGAGAAAAGATCATTAAAGAAGAGGGAAAAGAAAAAGAAATCACAGTTCAGAGGGAAAACACGAAGGGCAGCCAGTCCTGCTTCAAAACAAACCCTGAAACACTAGAGGAATGTTAATAGAACATGCAGACAGGAATGAATAAAAAAAGACCTGTGGAAAGAAAAGAGGATAGAAGAGAGAGAAGGAGGACAGTCTCCACAAACCCTGAAGAGAAATAACCTTCATTTGATAAGACCAGGTCCTGACATCAATCAGATGTGTCTTTAGGAACATATGGATGCTAAACACAACACTCAGATATGCTACAATATCCAAGTAAAATAACAACAACCATTTATTGCACAAAATTATTGGCATACTCAAGTTAATTGTTTAAGGCAGTGCTTTAAAATGTAAAACTGCTGTAACTCATGGTCCTGAGTCGTTTAGTTTGGGGTCAGTAAGATTTTTATTTTTTCAAGGAATTAACACTTTTATTCAGCAAGGGCACATTAAATTGATCAAAACGGACAGTACAGACTTTTATGAGCATTTTCCCACAAAAATATGAAGCGGAATCACTATTTTTAACACTGATAATAAAAAATGTTTCTTGAGCAGCAAATCAGCATATTAGAAGAATTTCTGAAGGATCACGTGACACTGAAGACTGATATTGAAAATTCATTTTGCATCACAGGAATAAATTCCATTTTAAAATATATTCAAATAGAAAACAGTTATTTTAAATTGTAGTATCATTTCACAATATTACTGCTTTTACTGCATTTTTGATCACATAAATGCAGCCTTGGTGAACAGAGACTTCTTTGAAAAACATTTAAAAAAATCATAG